AGCCAGAGCCACCAGGCTTTGGCCAACCCTCCTGGAGACCATCCCTCCCCTGTGGGCAGTCTTGGTCAAAAGGCTGCTCCGGTGAATCCGGGTACTAATTTGACCAGTTTATTGAATAAACACGAACCACAAGATGAGATCCTGAACCATTTCATGCAATCGAGCAGGAGGCACATTGGTAGCAACACCAGACTAGCCATTATTTTATGATGAAGTTAAGTGGCGCTGGTGGTGCTGGGAGAAACACAATGAACTCGCCTGGAAGCCCTCACCCTTTTCACTGCAATTGTCAGAGCACTGAAAGAGCAATTGAAATTATTACAGATATCCCTTCGGTTCCTCCCAGATCTAATATGTTATCTTCTTCATCTCGGATAATTGCGTCAGGTCATTAGCTGGCCGATAATTCACCTCGCGCCGAGTGCCGTGACTTGGCAAAGAGCAGGCTGCGCTCTTCAGGCGGCCAAAGCCTGAGCCTCTCCTGGCCAGCTCACTGCTCGCCACGCAGGTCCCCCCCAGGCAGGGCTCGGGCCAGCCCGCCTTCAAATCCTGCTCTGTTTTATGGCAGGGACAGCCATGCCGCTCCTTGCATGATGAAAGAAAAAAAAAGAAAAAAAAAAAGAAGGCAGCATCATTGCAAATGACCTAACGTTTTTAAAAACTCACCACGACAGGAACAGGGGTATCTCGGAAATATTTTAATTAAATGAGCTCAAAATTACACCAGGCACTCTACACAAATAACTGGCCAAATGCATCAATTTTCACACCAAGCCAACTGTGCATGTGGCTTGCAGAGGACGCAAAATCTTGCTTTAAACAAGCTCGTTGAAATTCAGCAATTTTGCCAATTTGCTAAAATAGAGCTCAGCTATGCAAAGCAGAAGCCCCACAAAATCAGATGTACCTGACAGAGTAGGAGGTGTAGATTTTGTAGGAGCTAGATTTTAAAGTGCTTGAAATGCCTTCTTATTTTGAGCCTGCAAAACTCAGCTGGACACTTCCCAGAAACAGGCTTGCAGAAGACTTCCACAGAAGCAGCTTTTAAGAAGTGCCTATATAGGATTTCAGCCTTTCTGGCATCAAAGAAAACCTGGATTAAAGCTGCATTCAGCAGTCCAAGTAGCAAAAAAAGGATGATTCCAAATTCTCTAGAACGACCGTGCCAAGCCCCAGCCAGGTAGCACTGGCTGCACTGCAGACATGCCAGGGGCACAGAAAGGAAAGCATTCGCATATATTGACATAAAAAAAAAAAAAATATACAGCTATCGTTGTCATTTAGGGCCCCATGTGCTCAGCCATTCTGGAAAGAAAAAAAAAAAAAAGAAAAGAAAGGCTGTCTTGCAGCTAGCTCAGGCACTTTAAACTGAAATCTTCAACAACTCATAGTCCTTATGGTTGGGAAAATGCATCAAGTGGGCTCTTGCTCTCCAGCACTGTAACACCCTCTTCGGTACCTGATGGACATACGAACTGTCCAAGAACACCCTCATGAGCTCCCACCTGAATTTCTCAAGCTTTGCCCATGACCAGCACAGAGCAGAAGAGCACTCTGGCCTTGGGGCTGCCGCTTCCCTGGAGAACCTGGGCAAGGATGGTCCCCTGGGCTTACACCGGCAGGACAGGCTGGCTGCAGCTTTAACCTCCATTTAATTGCTGTTGAGCTTGGGACTTTTCGATGTTTGGGCGCCCACGGGTAACGATCTGGACTTATGGATCAGTCTCTCACACCCTACATCCAGAGGAGCCAAGGAGCATTTTGAAGGCCAACCTACCCAGGCATTTTAGGGCATGAAACAACATGGACTGGGTCACCCTGTTTTGGGATGAGAAGGGGTTCAGTTGTACGAACACAAGCCCAACTGCTTGCCAGGAAAACAAGCCCTGGCCTATTGTATTTATTAGTACTAACATGGCTATTGGTCCTCTGCAGGAAAGCCAGAATATGTAGGCTTTGGAGGAAAGCTGCAGCAAACGCTCATGAAATTGCTGTCCAAGTGCATCCCTGGCATGGCTAACGTCCCGTTCCACCCAGTCCTTTCAGGGCCAGGGATGTGCACCAAGACACAGAACAAGATGGGACCATGTCCCCAGCAATCCCAGCTGATGCAGGCAGGAAAAGCAGGAAGGCAAAGCAGACGGCTGAGCACCACCCTGTCCCTCCTCTCCCCAGAGCTGCGAGAATCCCAGGAATTCTCCAACATCCCCCTGCTTCTGGACAGAAACCCTCCCTCCGGCCAGCACTGTGAGGATGGCCATGCCACCACCAGCCCTTCTGCAGAGGGGAGGAAGGGGATGCCATCCCTGCCCTCCAATGCCAACACCCTGTATAAAGTCCCTCTCAATCCAGAGCCACAAAAGGGACCAGATTTGGGCTTGATATATATGTCTTGCTCTGGTGGAGCCATTCTGCCCCTGGCTGTTGCTCTGCTTTGCTCTCAGGAGAGCGGCAGCAGGGTGGCAGAGCCCAGCCAGAGCAGGAATCCCAGCAATGCCAGCTATGCCGTGTCCTCCTCTTTGCCCCCAAAGGGTCAGGTCTCCATCTAAACAGGAAGCCGGGATCAGCCAGACCCGCGGTGCTCCCAGTCCCGACTGCCAGGAAGGCAGCGCTGCAGGAGCTGCTGCTGCTCATGGCCCCATCCCTCCCTGCTCCCAGCCCAGCAGAGGCAGTTTATGGGGGGATTCCAGGGTGCTCTCCTCCTCGGGACCCCCACTGTCAGGCAGGGTGCTTCCTCACTTCTTTGCAGGATCATGGGTTTTTATCATTTATTGAATAGAGGCAAAGCCCCGTGAGCAGCTAGGCCGAAGGCAGCACTGCGAAAGGGGAGTTGAAGCGGCAGGGGGGACAGTGAGGATCCCCCTCCTTCACCATTAGCGACTAACTCAGAACAAGCTGGGACACAGCACTTTCCTCCTAAACCAGGGACTGCATTAAGAACCACACAAACCTCAGGGTCAGCAGCTGCTTCACATACCACATGCAGAACCACTGCAGCTTGCGCCTGAAGATCTCCCGGCGCTTGCTTTCTGTGCCTAAATAAGCTTTTTCTTCCTCTGGTTTCCCCACACCAATATTTTGGGATTACTTTATTCCTTAGAGAACATGACTAGCCTTCTGCTTTAAGAAGGACATGCATTCCTTGACCTCCAGCCAAACTGAAACCAGCCTCCGGCACCCAGCCCAGCCAGCAAATGCCCTTGCAATGCCACGGTAATGCCTTGCTGCTGGGTGCAAAGCCAGTGCAAAGCACAGGAAAACAGGGAAGGGCTACACGCATAAACTTCCGTCAAACAAACCACCCTGGCATCCTCTTCACAAACAGCACCCCGCGACAAATAAACAGACATTAAAAGCCTCTCTGGCAGATCTGATCTGTAAACTCACGGCCTCGCAAGGACTTGCATCTCTCCTGTCTTACACTAGATCAAGAAAGCCTGAGCACAGGCTGAGATGTGTTTCAAGCACATCATTCACCATGAGAAATCACTATTTTACCCTAATTTGTATCCTTCCCCTGCCATTCAGAGCTTTACGAATTTTCTAGACTATGCTTAAGTTTATTTAGATTGGTCAACAAGGATGTTTTGGTGTTGGGTTTTTTTTTCCCTAGGGTTTATTTAAGCCCTCAAAGTTGTGCCAATCCTGCATTCTTTCAAAAGTCTTATGTTGAAAGGCAGCAGAGGAAACAGCTGTTTACAAGAGCTCTTGACTGCGTAACAGTTGTTCTGTCCCAAACCTTGTCTGGAACCAAGGTGAGCAAACCTAATGCCGTGAAGGACTTCTCAACTTGTGCACCAGCCACAACATTAACCACCACCAAGAGGACAGGGCAGTGGGTAGGAAAGCCGCTGAGAAAAGCCCACAAACTATTGACGCACTGGAAGTTTGAAACAGAAGAGCCTTGCAATCTGTGTCCTTGGGATCTGATACTCCTCTCCTCGGGTTTGATACTCCTCTCCTCCTCTGGTGATGAGAAAAAGAGAAAACGAGATCATGGCAAAGAGTCAGCAGGAGGGGCTGAGGGAGGAGCAGGGCGACAGCTGAGCCCTGCTAGGGCTGCTCAGCCACATGAGCAGGTCCAATGCTCGTGGGATTCCACGGGGCCACCAGAAAGACAGCTCATCCATTACTCAATGTCCCTGCAACCATCTGCAGCTCCTTCCAATTAAGTGTTATTCCCAGGAGAGAGCGATTCCTGGAAGACAGGGCAGACCCCTTGCTGTGACCCACGGAGCAGACCAAATTACCTGCGCCTGTGGCCACCCCACCACGTACATCGGACCAAGGTCCAGCCACGGCCCAAAGTCTTGTGCGTCGGGGAGCAGACAAGTTCCTGCCGTTTTAAGCCTGGGGCAGCGAGCTCGCCGGGTGTGCGGTTTGCTCAGCCCGCCCTTGAACACCTCCCAGTTGTGCAGGCGAGAGGCCGGGGCGCAAAGGAAAAGCTCCTCTCCTGGCGATCGGCCAAGCGTTATACAGCACCAGCTCCCTGTATCCTGACTGTAAGTATTTTGGGAAGCCAGATGACTTCATGACCAGCTGACATCCCCCGACCTACACGCTGTTAAACAAGCTCGCTGCTGGCCAGCCACAGAGCTCGTTACTCAGCACTTTAATTGCCATTTACCAGGCACTAACCTGCTGGCATATCCAGGCAGCATCCGAATTTTCATGCAGCTGAAGCACTTACGCAAGCGGTAGAACACAAACGTACCTCTTCCACAAGCAAGTTTGCTGTTACCTTTGAGATGGGATTGACACGTTGGGAAATCCTCTGAATTGCGGACATGCTACAGTTCCCACCCGGTGCCGGCAGCCCCACGTCCCACGCCCACCTTCCACCCATCCCCGATCTCAGTGGAGAGAGGGACGGTGAAAAATAGAGTTATGAATAACCTGGAGGGGAGGACTCATGCAAGAGAGGGCTGTAAGCGGAGACGGAGGAGCGGTGCCCTGCTACCCCGATGCAGAAGGGGAAGGAGCATCCTCCCCACACTCACCCTGATCCGCCGCATGGCTGTCACGATCTCCACCCGGCTGTTTGGCCGCGGCACATCCAGGCTCCCGATGTACTAGAGGGAAAGAAAGAGCCCATTAGTCGAGTTTCCACAGCACTGGAAACCTCACAGCCCCACCAGAGCCTCGATGGCATCCCCGGAGGGAACCCAGGGGCACCGCTGGGGAACAGGCGGCATTTTGCCCACTGCACCTGAGGCCTTGTGCGCCTCCCGCTGCAAAGCTGTTCCCTCACCACAACGTTTCAAGGATTCGGCCGCCCTTATTCTAACAATAAAATAACTCCAGTAATCAGGCCCGCAGGACTCATTCATCTATGCCGTGATCAAAGTGCGGAGGTATAATCCAATATCCCGTCGGCTGCCACAGAGTCATCTATTATAGACCTGGATATTGGAATATCCCTAAAATAGCTGGGGCGACCTGTCCTGTGACAGGCCCTTCACTACTTAATTACAGCCCTGCCAAACCCTTGGCTGTTTTTGCAGCAATGCCGAGCCTCCAGGCCAAGCCTCCAGAATAAAGGAGCCGCTTTGCTATTCAAAGGGGACCAAAGGCAGCACCGCTGCGACCCAGCACGGAGAGATGCCGAACAAAAACCTTTTTAAAAATAAAATGGAAGAGGGCAGATTCAGAAGAAGGATCAGAAAACAGACATGCGATGAAGAGTCAATGCAGAGCGCTAAAAATGTGTAGTTAGAAGAAAAGCGTTTTGAGTCTATTTACTAGCCCCCTGTGCTCCCACGCTTCATCTCGACACGAGCACTGACGTAACCCTCGGCAGCGCAGCATGGGCACTAAACCTGGCACGGCTGTATGTTCCTGTGAATACAGCCATAACCTTTGCCGACACCATGAAAACCCAGGTCACTGCTTTCAAGCACCAGTGCCGAGATGGGCGCTTACATGGCTGAACACGCGCTGGGGGCTGTGAGCAGGCAGAGGCCGCCGAGAGGGGTTATTTCTCACCCAGCATCGCTGCAGGATGCCCGGCTCCTCTCCTCTGGATGCTGCTGCCACCTCTATCGAGGGCACGGAGCGGGGGCTGCACGACCACCCCTGGGTTTTGCACGTGTGTGCCACCCTGGAGAGCCCTCCTTGCTAACCCTCTGCACCCACACCCCAAACCCGACAAACCCACCCCACGGCAGAGGCCATCCCCAGCTGCACGGCTCCCATCCCGGCTGCAGATGGAGGCAGGCGTCCAGCGACTGGCACGGGGCAGTCGGTGCTGAGAGCAGATGGGAAGAGAGGGGATATAAAAATAAACACCAAACAGCTGGCAGGTCCATCAGGGGCTGAGCAGGCTGCCACCACGCAGGACAGCTTTACGTAACCAGGAATTAAAGCCCGCAATGCACGCCGCCAGCAAGGGCAGCATTAACTGCCCAGACCCCAACCACCCAATGCCCGACTGAAAAACCACAAGTCTTGGTAAGTTTTTAGTTGCATCCCCTAAACGGAGCCTTCCCACCCCTTCAAAGGTTTGGGTCACATCAAGACAGGTGTCTGACATCAATCAATTCCCTTTTCTTTACATAAAGTCTGGAAACCATCAGTAAAAACTAGGAGATGACAAGGAGGGCTGAGGCAGCCAGAGCCCTGGGCACACAGGCACCTTGCAGCACGGGGAGAAACCTTTTCCCGTCTTCCCCCACCATGCAAACACCTTGGCTCCACAGCACCTCTCCCTCTGAGCCTCCGACGCCGCTCTTCTGCTGGGGACCACCCGGCACGGCTTCCCACTCACCGGCAAGGGAGACTTCTTGGCGTGAGAAGGACAGACTTTTGCTAGCAAAAGGGACGGCCAGAAGATGCCTATTGTCTTCCAGCTATTCCCAACAGCGCGAGGTCACTGCCGCTGGCAGGGGTAATTGCTTTCCCTGCACAGGCGAGTGCTGAGTGCAGCCATGTGCAAGCACAGGGCAAGCGGTGGCAGCTATCGGCCAGGCAGCAGACGGCCCCATCCACTACGGTCACATGAATTCGAGCAATGCCAACCTCCTGGCTGATGACCACGACCTCGGCCAGCAGCAACACTCGGTCATGCCCGTAGTTACATGTGTGAGCCCGGCAGGGCTGGGCTGCCCCATCAGCAAGTGATGGAGCAGAAACCAGACACCACCTTGGACCTCCTTGGATGGCCCTCCTGAAAAACAGCACCAGCAGTAGGAAGTGCCTTGATGCTGTCCTATACACACCTCCTTATTCAGCTCTTTTCCCTCCAGCCCATGCTTGCAAGCACCTGAACTGAGGGCTTGGGTCACAGACCATGCAGGATTCACCTCCGCTTCCAAACCTGGGCTCTGGGGCATCCTGTTGAATCCCGCACCTGGGAGCATGGCTCCACCAGAGCCCGCAGCACCTCCAGCCCCAGCGTGGGCTCACTTCACACAATTCCTGTGCTCACAGCTCCGAAAACACCCACCTCTCCCTCCACTCTGGGGGCAGGTATTTTTTGCACATTTTGCAAAACTCAACAGATGGACAAAGTCTCCCCAGATTATTTCTGCCTTCAGGGCAGAAATCACAAGCAAGGACTGCACTGCAGAGGAGTAACCCTTCACGATGTAATGAGTATCCTCCCAAAAATGTGGACTTGGAGGTTGGCTTTTCAGCTAAGCTACTATTTTCCAGGTGAGGAGTGGGGATGGCTTGAGAAACCACCTGTATTTATTAGATTTGCAGGTGATAAGCACACAGAGAGGAGAGCTGCTCCTGCACTCTTCCACTCTCCTCCAGCCCTCCTATTCACAGCACTGACTTCCATTTTGGGAAGAGGTGTGGGAAAAAGCAGGGGAGGTAGAGGCAAGGTAGAGATCAGCAAAGCAGCAGGAGCCTCCAGGGTGGAGGACTCCCCCCTCATCCTACCCCAACGCTGAGACCCAGGGACCCCCGAGCATGGGGGCAAGGGCATGGGCTTTTGCCTTCCTTTAAAGTTTGCGTGCCCAAAGTGAGGTGCCAGGGGGCCCTGGTCCCCACAGAGGCTGGTGTCCCACCTCCCAGGGCTGGGGCCAGCGTCCGTGCCAGCAGGTCAGCCCCACAGGAAAGGGAGGCAGCGGGGCCAGGGCTGAGCCCGGGGAGGAGAAAGGAAGGCGCCCGAGACAAAAGGAAGGAAAATAAAGCAGTGTGAAAGAGAGCTGACAAAGAAAATAAACCCATGAAAGAACCCACCCTCCCCAAGCCCCCGGGAACCGAGGATGAGGAAACCATATGCACATATGCAGGACACGGCTTTCCCAAATAATCACCCCTAGAACCCTGGCCCCACCACCCTACCAGCGGATGGGGGGCAGAGGTGGAGCCCCCCCACCTGCACCCAAGAACCAGGCGGGATTAGGGGGTCACCGATCCCCGTGCTCTGAAGGCAGGGGGCACGGCTGGCTCGGTGGGGAGGACAGTCCCAGGCAGCCCCCTCCTCCTCAGCCCAATTAGGAGGAGAAAGGCCACCCGCTTCGGAGCACCAGTGAATGGGCAGCCGAGGGGGTCCCTCCTGCAAGGAGGCACTCTGGCAGCCCCACAAAGGCAGCCCTCGCTTTGCAAATGGCCAGAGCCACTTGGGGCTGCTTGCCCGGTGGCATGGGTGGGCAGGCACAAAGCACCTATTCTGTAGGGTGCTTTTGGCCCCCCGCTCACCCTGCTGTTCCTCAGCCCCGCATGTGGGACCCAGCCTTCTATCGGTCCTGCCAGGGACCTGAGGAAGGGCAGCCCCTCTCCCTGCCATTGCATGGACTTGGTGGCTGTCACCCATCGGTCTTCTTGGCACCCGAAGGGAGCTTGCTTGTTTGCTGTCCCCCTCCCACGCACACAGGCGCCCCGGTCTGTCCCAGGCACAGCTGGAAGGGGCCTCCAGGCGCAGCCCACATCATGCACCCTCCACCCATGGCTTACAAATGACCTGTCCAGTTCAGGGAAATACCAGTCCTCCCCAGGTCAGAGGAAAAAAAAAAAAAAAACCACCAAGAAAACAAAGGAGAGCATTTTGCCAAAGCAATGTTTCCACGAGTCACTTAGTTTCTCATTTTTCCTTGAGGTTGTTTAATATTGCTCATTTTCTGCTCTGTCAGAAATGAATTTTCTTGCAAAGGTGCTTTTTCTGCAACAGCAGGTGGCAGATATTTTCGGAAAACCAAAGGCCGATCGCATCCCTGACAGGGGGACACCTTCCAAGGGGCGTTGATGAGATCCCTTGTGGCTGGGGGGCAGTGGCAGGCAGCAAAAGCCTTCCCGGGGAGGAGCTGCCACCTTCCCAAGGGAAGCACGCAGCCTCTCCGCCAGCCTGACGCAGCGTGCAAAGGTCAGGGCTGAATCATACCCAACTTACGGGGGGGGCTAGATTGGCTGGCTGCTGGGTTTCCAGCTCAAAAAGCCGCCCTGAGCCAGAGAGCTTGCCACAGATGAAGAACCACTGCTTCTGCTTCTGGCAGCACAGGCAGAGGAGACACGCTTGGCATCAGCCCCCGGCTGGGGCATCGAACCACGGGCTACACAGCCATCCTCGGGGCCAGGAGAGCCTCCTCTGTGCAGTGGATCCTGCACCCGGGCTGGGAAGGGGTTACTGGCAGTACCAGCAGCCGGGTTGGAGGCATCAGATATGGGGTGCGAGGGTCCCAAAATTTCTAAGGAGTGCAGGGCGGTGCAAAGCCACACCAGGTACTCGGACATCAGCCCCATGACACATGGCTGTGCCATGAAGCAAGGGCCAAAGTGCTAGGGTGCCAGTCCCCAGAGATTTGGAAATCTCGTTATTTCCTCCGTACCTGGGGAAACACCCAGCCTCTCTGCATCCTGGTTGATAAGGGCTTCTCCTAGGGCTGCCATGGTCAGGGAAAGCAAGGAAAAATCCAATTCCTGGGACTTTTGCTGTCCCAGTGTTGCCAGTCTCCCACGCACAGCCTCCACCCGGAGAGCCATGGGGCTGGGCTGGCACGGCCCCAGCTCTGCCCCACACCCCCGGAACACCCAGCCTCGCTGGAAGGAAAGGGGGGAAGTTTACTCAGACTGTGGTGGTGTGGGCTCAAGAGGCCAAAGGGGACGGAAAAGTCAGGATGCCAGC